CAGGCCACAGAGGAAGATCATGCAGCCAGCCTTGATGAGACCATGATAAGCTAGGGTCAGATAGAAGGGGAGAAGATCTTCCCTTATCAGGGGACTAGGAAAAGAGCATAAGGGGAGAAGAGGTATTGTGGGTAGGACTAATAGGAGACAAGGGAGGGGGCTGCTGTGGGAATACAAAGTATGCAATAAACAAATATATAAATAAAATTAAATTAAAAAAAATTAAAAAAAGACGATGGTCTGGCACAGTGTACCTGAAGTACAAAGAAGAAAAATGAATTGTCAATCTTAGATCCTAGATCCACTTACAAATATACTCTGCCTTTTAAAGATGTTTCAAGCCAAAAGCCCAATTATAAAAAAATTGAAATGACAATTAGCTTACAAATAGTTTGGGTCATAAGAGTGACACAGAAATTAAAAAGTCTTGCCATTAGATATTTACTCTCTTGGACCAATAATCAGAGAAAGATGTCAAATTAGATCAATAAAAGATAAGTAGTGTATGATAACCAAATAAAAGTAGGTGATTAGAGTTCACATCTTTATTAGAACTTGTCAATAACAAAGACTGATGGAAAGTTCTGTTTACACATTAAATTGCGTGTTAAAGAATGCACATACCCAGATGTCCACCAACGGAGGAATAGATACAGAAATTGTGGTATTTTTACACAATGGAATACTACTCAGCAATCAAAAAATGAGGAAATCTTGAAATTTGCAAGCAGAATGATCTAGAAAAGATCATTTTGAGTAAGGTATTCCAGAAGGAGAAAGACACACATGGTATATACTCATTTATATAGACCTATAAGATAGGATAAACATAATGAAATCTATACACCTAAAGAAGATAAACAAGAAAGAGGACCTGGGGTAAGATGATCAATCCTCACTTAGAAAGACAAATGGGAGGTGCATTGGACGTAGGAGAAAACAAGTAACAGGACAGGAGCCTACCACAGAGGGCCTCTGAAAGATTCTACCTAGCAGTGTATCAAAGCAGATACTAAGACTCATGACCAAACCTTCGGCAGAGTGCAGGGAATCATATGAAAGACGGGGGAGTTTGTATGACGTGGAGAGGATAGGAGCTCCACAAGGACCAAATATATCTGAGCACAGGGGTCTTTTCTGAGACTGATACTCCACCAAGGACCATGAGTGGATATAACTTAGAACCTCTGCTCGGATGTAGCCCGTGGTAGCTCAGTAAGCAATTGGTTTCCCATAGTAAGGGGAACTGAGACTATTTCTGACAGGAACTCAATGGCAGGCTTTTTGACCTTCCCAGCCACCAAGGGAGGAGCAGTCCTGCTAGGCCACAGAGGAGGACTTTGCAGCCAGTCCTGAAGATACTTGATAAAACAGCATCAGATGAAAGGGGAGAAGGTTCTCCCCTATCAGTGGACTTGGAAAGGGGCAGGGAGGTGGTGAGGGAGGGAGCGTGGGTCAGGATACAGCGTTAATAAAATGTAACTAATAATAAAAATTTTAAAAAATTTAAAAAGAAAAGAATACACATAAAAAGTAGTTCCTGTCCTATTTCACTTGGAACTTCAGCTACTTTTGGAACTGGTCTAGAGCAAGTAATTCTGAAATAGCCAAATCTTATTTCTAAGGTGGATACTTCAATTCTCTGTCTTTGGTCAATTGAGAAAAAAAAAAACAAAAAACAATTTTCTGAGAAGAAAACGTGTTTTGTGAGCTTTACTATGGAAACTATGATAAAATACAGAATAGAATTAACCATGGAAAAATGAAGTCAGGAAAGTATAGTATTATAATCCTTTACATTGATAATGTGGAAATTGAGTCCAGGATCTACAAAAACAAAGAATCAAACAGAAAATAAAACAAACAAAAACCTGTAATTTGACATGAAAATGGAAGACAGTTCTTTTTGGTTGCTTTTTAATTTTTTTTTTTTATTTTTTGTTTAAGACAGGGTCTCTCTTTGTAGATAAGGTTTGGAGTTCATAGCAGTCTCCGTGCTGTAGCTTTTCATATGTCAGGGAGGAAAGCAGTCCTGTTTTGAGGATTGTGGGGAGATGTAAAGGAACATTTATTTAGCACAGAGCCCAGAAGTTGCTGGCAGATCTATTTCTTTGAAGTCCATCATGATTATCCAGTGATTGTACTTGGAATGACTCAAAGGTAGATGGATAACTTGCAGGCAGTTATAGTGCTAATGTTCAGTAAATTGTTCAACTTCTGGCATGTTGTTGGGGAGAGGAAACATGTTTCATGTAGTTGGTCACAGCAGCTATACTTCAAGACAGTGCTGTTTCTAACCCAGAAACAGCAGCTCTTCAGAGGAATGAATTTTCTGTTTTTCAGTTTGCCTTTCACTACTCTGAAGGGTATTACAATCTCAAGCTCCTCAATGTTTGTTGCCTGATCATTCCTGATTCCTTTATCTTGGGTCATGTCTTTGATTAGTTGGGCCAAGAGTTGGCTGATCTTGTTTATTTTTTCAAAAATAGAAATCACCTCTTAGACCGAGTCTTTGAATTATTTTATTTTTATTAATTTCTGCTTTGATTTCTCTTATTTCTTGTAGTCTGGTAGATTTGGCTTTGATTTTATTTTTCCAAATTCTTGAACTGTATCATTAAGTTATTTACTTATGTTCTCTCTCTCTTTCTCTTTTTTTTCTTCTTTTACTGTAGTTACTTAGGGCTATAAATTCCCTTAGAAATGCTTTTATTATGTCCCAGGTATTGCTGGGCTGTGTTTTCATTTAATTTCAGAAATCTATTTTCTTTGATTTCTTCTTTGACATATTCATCATTTAGTAGTAAGTTGCTTGCTGTTGATATTCACTTTAATTACATAATGGCCATATAGGGTACATGGAACTATTTTAATTTTTCTGAATATGTTAAAGTTTGTTTCATGACCTAGGATGTTGATGTGGTCTACTCTGGAAGCTTTCATGGGCTGCCAAGTAGATGTAGGATATTTATTGTCTTCAGGTTTCCATTGCTGTGAAGAGACACATGACCATAGCAACACTTATAAAGGAAGATTTATTTTTAAAGAAAAACATTTAATTGAGGCTGGCTTACAATTTCAGAGATTTAGTCCATACTCATCACAGTAGTAAGCATGGTGGCACACAGGCAGCCATAGTCCCCCCCTCCCCCACCCCCCATATCAACCCTCCCCAGCACATTAGGTCACATCAGGAATGAGCATATCCTCATCCCCTGAGGCCAGGCAAGGCAGCCCTATCAGGGGGAAGTGATCCAAAAGCAGGCAACAGAGTCCATGTTAGAAACAGCCACCCTCTGTCCACCTGTCAGGTATCCCATATGAAGACCAAGCTGCCCATTGGCCACATATGTGCAGGGGCCTAGGTCCAGACCATGCATGTCCTTTAGTTGATGTCTCAGTCTCTGTAAGCCCCCATGAGACTCAGTTGTCTCAGTTGGTCTTCTTGTGAGGTTCCTGTCCCCTCCAGGTCCTTCAATCTTTCCCTTAACACTTCCATGGACACCCAGATCTCCACCCCATGCTTGGTTGCAAGTCCTAGCATCTGTCCCAATTCTGCTGCTGCCTGGAGCCTCCCAGAGGACAGTCAAGTTAGGCTCCTGTCTACAATCATCGCAGAGCATCAATAATAGTGTCAGGGGCTGGCTCTCTACCACGGGGTGGGTCTCAGGTTGGGCCAATTATTGGTTAGACATTCCCTCAATCTTTGTTCCCCCTTTATTCCTGCAATTCTTGTAGGGAGGGTAATATTTGGATCACAGGTTTTGTCGGTGGTTTGTTGTTCCCCTCCTTCCACTAGTCCTGCCTGGCTAAGAGGTGGTCACTTTAATCTTTATGTCCCACCCTATTAGGAGTCTCAGCTGGACTTACACCTATATACCCCCAGGAACTTATCCTGTCACAGGCCTCCAGCTGGACAAAGAGATGACCCCCTCAGTTTCCCTTCTTATTCCCAGCCCTCTCCCCCTCTCCCCAAATCTGACCCCCCACTTTTATCTCCCTCCCCATTCCATCTTCTGCTCAGTTCCCTCTCTTCATCCATTTCCACTGTTTATTCTATTTCCCCTTGTAAGTGACATTACAGCAACCTCCCTTGGGCCCTCCTTGTTACTTATCTTCTTTGGGTCTGTGGATTGTGGTATGGTTTGCCTGTACTATAGGTCTAGTATCCATTTATAATTGAGTACATACCATGTGCGTCTTTCTGGGTCTGGGATACCTCACTCAGGATGATCTTTTCTAGTTCTATCCATTTTCCTGCAAATTTCTTGATTTCCTTGTTTTTAATTGCTGAGTAGCAATCCATTGTGTAAATGTACCACACTTTCTGTATCCATTGCTCAGCTGAGGGACATCTAAGTCATTTCCAGTTTCTGGCTATTACAAATAAAGCTGCTATGAAAATAGTTGAGCAAATGTCTTGTTGTATGGTTGATCATCTCATGGATATATGCCCAGGAGTGGTAGTCCCAACTGTCTGAGAAAGCACTGATTGATTTCCAAAGTTGTTGTACAAGTTTACATTCCCACCGCAATGGAGGAGAGTTCCCAATTCTCCACATCCTCTCCAGCATGTTTAGTCCCTTGAGTTTTTGATCTTAGGCATTCTGATGGGTGTAAGATGGAATTTTAGAACAAGCAGGGCAGCAATAGGCAGGTTACAGTGATGGGGAAAGCTCACAACAGGAAGAACACACCCAATGATTATCTAAATGGCCAACACTGAAAACATAATACAGACAGCATTATACAGTCTAAGCAGTCTAAGATTGTATTCATGTACATAGGAAAATGTGTGTGTGTGCGCGCACACAGAAAAAGGCAGGGCAGAGACTGAAAGAGAAACAGAAACACAAAAAGGGAGAGTTTATAACAGCAGTAGTGAAAAAGATGTCCATAAATTTGAAAGTGAGCAAGGAGAGGTAGGAGGGGTGTACTGGAGGATTTGGAAGAAAGGGGGGTGGTATAAAAATTATCTCAAAAAAAAAAAAACCAGAATCTTTTTTTTTGTTTGTTTGTTTGTTTGTTTTATTTGGTTTTTCGAGACAGGATTTCTCTGTGTAACAGATTTCTTGATGTCCTGGAGTTACTCTCCTTGTAGACTAGTCTGGCCTTGAACTCAAAGAGAACTGCCTGCCCCTGGCTTCTGAATGCTGGGATTAAAAGCGTGTGCCACCACAACTGGCTAGAAAGTATTATTTTTTTTTTTAAAGAAAGTAAGTTAAAGAAATTTGGCAATATTAGAGAAGGGTTCACTGAAATGCAATGAGAAAAGTTGGTCATAGTAATTTTTAAAATTCAGTGCAGATTTTAAGAATTGTGTATATAATTAGTTGTTTCATCATTCCCAGGTATCGAAGACACCTAAAAGGAAACAAAAGAAGGGAAGTGTGACATATTTATAAATGTCAATAATATCACATCTGAAAGAAACAATAGCTTCCTACAGTAGGCTAATGGTCTGTGTAGACTTAATGGCATACCAAGAGAACCCTAGTGAGCTACCTGGGTGAAGCTGAACTTAAAATGGAGGAATGCTTACAGGAGAGACCAGTGTTTCAGGTTCTTAGCAGTGCTCATGTCAGCAATTGTAGAAGAGGGCTATGGTAAAGGGCCCTTATGGTGAATTTGGAAGGTGTTTAGATAGAATCATGCCATTCCATTTTTGATGAAAGGTTACCAATGTTTACTTTTAGCCTAATAATCTTATTAGCCTAATAATTTTAGCCTAATAATCTATAGATGTGTAATCTTGTTCATCGTTAATTTTTCTGGGGAATTGACATGCATATTTATCATTTATGTGTCTGTGTTCGTCAGGCTTTCATGGCAAATGCTTTCACTTTTAATAGTCACCTTGCTGGCTCTAGCCATTACTCTTTTTTCCTGACTCATTATGAGGTTTGGGGATCCCTGTTTTCCTTCTGTTTTTAAAGAAGCTGCATAATCTGAAAATGTCATTGTCATTCTATGTCGCATGTACACAACTGCGAATGTGCTTCAGGAAGTAGGGAAGAAAACAGGACAGAAGACCTTTGCCAGTTTTTTTTTTTGTTTGTTTTTATCATGACTCTTTTCTTCATAGAACTTCACTGAAAACAGAGGGTAATCTCTTTTTTTTTCATGCAAAGATCTCACACAGATCTTCACCTACCCCCAAAGGCACCTACCCCCAAAGATTGAATGGGGGTCTGCTTTATCCTGATCCCTAATGTATTTTAAATAAAACTCTTGTTTTATTTTACTGCACTTTGTTTAACTTTCCATCTTTTTCCCATTCCTCTCTTATAGCTTCCTTTATATAGCTTCAGAAAAACTTTCCTCTCCTTTTTTCCCTCCTAAGCCCTGTACAATAAAAATCAGTTTTGCTCAAATGCTTATGTGCTATGACATGACTGTTATGCTACATGAGTACTTTTGTTTTATACTGTCTTTGCTTAGTATTTACATTCTTTTTTAACTAACACTCAGTATCTTTAAACTGAAAGGCTTTTTTGTGTTATAGAACATTCTTAAAACTAGAAGCATTCATAGAAGTAGTAGTTATTGACTGATTAAATATATATTCTCTGCCTCATTGTGTGCTGTTAGAACATAATTGTGGTGACCCCAACCAATAAATCATCTGATTGCTAGCACCTAACTAATTTGCTACTGTATTATACTGTAAATACGTGATATGCAGAGTATCTGATAGGCAAGAAGCACCCACTGGGTGAGTATCACACAACAGAACTAATGCATAGCTTTCCTGTATTTGAAAGCCCTGCACTCTGGGATTTACTTACCTTGTCTTCCAAGTGCAACCCTGAAAGCCGGAGATAAGCCACAGGTGCGAAGGCATCAGCCGAGTGGATGACTGCTTCGGAGGAGTCCCTGCAGCACAGACAACTCAGTGTGCTTACCAAGCACACACCTTGTGGATAAGTCACTCCTGCTGCTGAGAGACCTGAAATCCCTCAATACTAAGAAACAAGGATGCTTTCTCCATGTAAAAGGACACACAGCTTACACTCAATGTTTACTCCATTTGGAGACTTCAACTGTTGAACTGTACAGCACCAATTGCATTGGCTAAATGTTAAATTTCGCTGCTGGGTCTTCCTTGTGCCTTTATTTTCAAGAGGCAATTGACTCTGCAGCACCCAAAGTCTAAGTCATCCCTCACAAAAGCAAGCTGCAGCTGCTGGTGGGCTTTGGCCAAACTGACCGCACTGTAGGGTCACTGCTATACATACACCTCATTTGACAGGGTAATTGCCACATCCAGGTAACACTGTATGAACTGCTTGCTGTGACCATACGGGCACATGTAAATTAACTTATGATTTAATAAAGATATCCTGTAAAGAACTAGAAATTACTAAGGTTATCTATGAAGTTATATTAAATAGCAATTTTGTTGTTTATTAAGACAGTTATTAAGCAATTTTGTTGTTTATTAATAATGCTTTGCATGTCGACTGAAAGTGTAAAAATTCCTCATATCTCTTTAATTTCTCATGAATTATTTTCATTGCATTTATTAACATTAGCATCTAACCACTCCATGATCACAAAGCTTATTTCTACTTTAACATTTTTTTTAAGATTCATTTATTTTCATTTATATGTATAAGTGTTTAGTTTGTATATACATATGATGTGCATGCCTTGTGTCCATGGAGCCCAGAAAAAGACATTAGACCCCTTGTAACTGGAGTTACAAATGGTTTTAAGCCGTGATATGGATTCTGGGAATTGAACCTAGGTTGTCTAGAAGAGCAGTAAGTGTTTTTATCTGTTGCCCTAGCTCTCCAACCCTGTTATTTTGACTCTAAAATTTTTAAAATTGAAATTATATTTATGCTTTTATTTTATTTTAAAATTATGTATATCTTTGTATGTCTGGCTGTAGGTTTGTTTGTGTGTGTGATTGCAATTCATGTGGAGGTCTGGGATTACAGGAAGCTATAAGCTTCCAGAGGCTAGTGCTGTGAACTGCACTGGGATTCTGCAAGAGCAGTACATGCTCTTAACAGCCGAATTGAGCCATCCCTCCTGACTCTTACTTCGACTCTTTGGGACTAGGGTAAAACATAGTTGAATCAGGTTTTTCTGATTAGAAAGTTAGAAGGAGCCACGAAATACTTGAGTTCAGAATATTAAAATTTCACAAGAATATGTTTACGGTTCACTTACAAGATGTATAATACTTTATATATGATTGAAAATTCAATGTATAGTCATGAGTTTTTACTACCAAATCTGTATCTTGCATATTATAAAGTAATATTAAAAAGACAACATGAAAAGAAATTTATATAAACTGACCCTTTAAAGAATCAGATTTTTGATGAAATGCTATAACTAGCTTTCATTGATTACATCAGTGCAAAGATGCTTGCAGATAAAATGGGAGGAAGGAACAGCATAGAAAGAGATAGCATGTAGAAAGAAGAAGAAAACCCATACCCACAAATTATTCTGACATCTACACGCATGGTGTGCAATCCTTGTTTACCCTCTTTACCTCTCTCTCTTTTTCTTATATACACATGCACATACAGTTTCAGAGAGATAAAGAGAGATAGGGAGGGGAGGAGAGAGAAAGGGAAGGAGAGGGAGGGAGAGAAATAGAGAGGAGGGAGGAAAGGAAGGAGAAAGAAAGAAAGACAGGGAGGAAGGGAGGGAAAGATACACAGATAAATAGGAAGGGAATTTGCCAGGAAGAAGGGCTCTTGTTAATTAATACACCTTTTCTGACACCTTTCCTCAACAGCAGAACCAATATTCCTCGTGTTATCATCAACGTCAGGCTTGAGTTTCTATAGTTACAAAATGATGGTGGTGAATGGTTTCACTATTGAAGGAGCATGATGCTGAAGTAACATGAAGCAGAACTTCTCACAATTAAGTGTCTATGAAGACCTCTGGGTCCTTTGGGACATGAAGCTGTTAGTTAGATAGGTGGTTGGAGCATCATTACTTTGCATTTCTTGCTGCGTTATTCTTCCCTCTTATGGTTAATATTGTGTTAATAAGTAAATATATTCCCAGTTTCTCCATTACACTGTAAGTTTACCCAAAAATGTAAATGTGTTTCTTTAATAGTAAACAGCACTATTTCACAAAAGTACATTTCCTGCTTATAAAATCCTTTTGTGATCAGCATGGCCATTAAAGAAAATCTCCCACCTATAAACTTTGGTGCAATAACTCTGCTATCTTGTATCATAGTTAATACACAGATATGTTTTCCATTCAAGCTTATATAGGTGGAAACAATGGGCATCAATAGTGACCAACAGAAATTGATGGAAACTATAGGCACTCTATTAAAAAATGTCAAATAAATTAGTGATGTTAATTATTAATGCAAAACAAAGCAAGAGTGATGAATAGTGGGCTTAGGGATGAAACCATTTTAGTCTTAATGTTCCCAGATTATAGCTTTACCTATTATTAATTGTTCAAAGAATTCAAGTCTTAATGTGAAAACTATCAAAGCTGTTCGTTCAACCAAGCTTAATTTTAACAATCTTTTCCAAGAAGCTTGAGCTTAGTAGAAGAAACAAAAGCAAAACAACAGAGGAAAAGCCCTTCCAGCAGACAAGAGTAGAAGAATATAGAACACAGCTAATAAAGTGATGAACTAGGCAAAGTTCCTGTTTCTTCATTATACTAATTTTTACAATTTATGGTGAAGGTATATCGCTACTCACCATAAACTGAATTCAAAACAAATTTCATATGTAAAAATAACCCCCAACAACTGAAGAAAAATGTCTAGCATCATCATTCTAACTTGTTAAAGCCAAGAAAGAAGAAAAAGAGGATGGAGTTAATGGAACCCACAGGCTACTGATGTGGCAGTTTATCAAACGTAGCTGTAATGAAAGATAAATAATACAGGCAATTCACACTTCATGAAAGGATAAAAGTGTCAGTGTGTAGGTACCAGTTTTACTGCAGGCCGTAATCAGCAAGTAAAGGAAAGTGCAATGTCTAAAAAGTTTACAGCCTTCTATGAAGGCCTCGTCTTGTCAGGTATTGATTTAAGTATTCACACGACTTCCTTGGGATTAAACAAATTGAGTGTTTGTGAACTTAGAGGACATGTTCTATTTCTTACAGCCAAAGCTGCCGCAAGCTAAATGCTGGGCTGCTTCTATCACTTCAGTTTAAGAAAAAGGAAGATGCTGAAATGGTATCTTACACAATGATTTTCTTCTTAAATAGAGGACAATCCAAAGTGAACGTTTCATACTCGCCACCTTCCCCACATACGTGGACACCATACTTCTTAGAAAGCTGAGCATCAGGAAAACACAGAAAAATAAAAATTAAAATGACATCCTCAAAATACTCATTTTGCAGGCTATTCTCTCCTAAAAACTAATGCAGATACTAACTAGAAATATAGAACTGCCATGAAAATCCTCAGATCTTATTCTGGCTTCACAGAATGTTCTAAAAACACTTACCCCTTTTGCAAATACCTAATTCAGTATCATTATATTCAGCAGACATGAATGTCTAACCCAGCTCTTCTCAAAACCTGTGGGGTGGGTGGGACCCCTTGGAGAGAGGGGTCAAATGATCCTTTCATGGGCAACACCAAAGATGATCAGGAAACACAAATATTTCTATGACAATTAACAACAGTAACAAAATTGCAGTTGTGAGGTAGCAATGTAAATAATTCCATGGTTAAAAGGAGGAGCTGTATTAAAGGGTTCCAGCACTAGCAGGGTTGAGAACTGCTGGTCTAATGTATTGTGGGATGATATTAGTACTTCCTCTCACCTTTACTTTCGTAGTGCTGTTATAACTACCAGGCGTCTTACAGACTTTGCTTCAGTCTCTATTTGTATGGCATTTTCTCGTGATTAAAATACTTGTGTGTCTCTCACAGTGAAAAAAAAAAAAAAGAAAAGAAAACATATTGCAGGCTGTAGAAAATTACATTTTCTTAAGCCATGTGTCTAAAGAGGACATTTGAGAAGTGTTTGCATAAAGTACAAGATCTTTAATAATCTCAAATCCTAGCTAAAAGTTATAGGAAATAAGAAGTTTTCTTTACAACGATAAAACTTAAAGATATATTTTAGCACCAATGCTCACTTTAGATTCAAAGGTAGGTACGTTACTATGGAACAGATAGAGCCTAACGATACAGGTCCTGCCTTTTGAATTTGAAGGGTCAAAACAAGTTATTAGAGAATTTATCAGTCAAAAAAATTAAAACCTTTCTTAGGCCTATAATCACATACATTATGCTTGGGCTGTTATTTTAGGAATATTATAAGGCACTAAAACCAGTGAACTTCCAAAGTCATAGAAAGTCTTAGAAAGTGCTTAAGTCTTAATAAGATTTAGCCCCCAAAGTTGTCTAGTAAAATTTAAATTTTAAAAAAAAGAAACAAGCAACCAAACCAAACCAAAAATCCAAAACAAACAAACAAATAAACAACCCTGTGTTATTTGTTTTTAACTATAAGCCATACGATGTAATGATCTTGATACTGAAAACTATTTGGCTGATACACAATAGGTATCAGTGTTGAAACAGTTGCACAGGCTGTCATTGATACTGATCTTTTAGATTCTATGTGGAAGCTTAGTCATCACACATCTGTGACTCCCTGATTCAGAATGTAACAGCTTTCCCTACTCATGGTTGCCGTAAGTCCAAATGTTTATAGCTCAAAGAGGAGGGATTCCTTTTCTGTTACTGCCAATACTGTGGTTGCTTCCTAAATTTTCAGCTTTACCTGAGGGTTACAAACTTATTTGGGAATTTTTGTAGTCGTGCTACTATTCTGAGTGGGTGGTACAGATATATGAACACTCTACTCCTCCTACTGAGAGTCGGAAGTAAAGTAAATGACATTGTAAAGCCAAATAGCAGGGAAAGCGTGGGAAGGAGAACTGGATAATGTTTCTGTAAATGCTCCAAAGGGCAAAATAGATAAATTTTTGCCTGGGTCATAAAACAGAGATTTGGCAAGGCCAAATTATGAGAGGTGGTCCTTATGGGACCAAATAATAGGACAAGACTGCTTTGCCATACTAAGCTAAATTAAATTAATATCTTCTCTGCAATAAAACCACACGGCAATAATAATGGGTTATGGATTTCGGGGTATTTATTTGTTCTGCTCTTAGTGTTCTACTGATTTTCTAACAACTTCCCTCCATGGGCCTTCTAATTTCACCTTTCTGACCACTTGCCAGTCTATGTGGGATGTATACAGGATCAATATTTAGCTTTTCTGTGACGGCAAATATCTCACGGAAACGGCATTGTTTTTGTAATACTAAGCATAACAGGACTGTTAAAGTCTGTGTGGCTATTACATCCTACAGATGTGGTTCTGTTAATCCTTTGTAAAAGTAATGTAGGTGGCTTTTAAGAGGTGCACCTGACATTTGTATGTGCTGTGCAGTATCTTTAGCTTACATAAAATACCATTAATATTTATTTATCTATCAATCATCTCTTCAACAGATATTTGAGAGATGAAAAAAAGACTAAAACAATGTCTTGAGAGCTTGAAATTCACTAAATATAATGCATTTTACATAGTAGCATAAAATAATAATGAAGCTTATTTTGCCTATATTAATCAGTATTTAGAATCCCTTTTCCTACTCTATTATTAATTTACCAGTACGGAAATATAGGTTTCCAGTCAACAAATTTGGAAGAAAGTCCCAATAGTTTCTAAGACTGAAAAATCAGTAAGTATTCTTACTGAATTCTGATTATTTCTCAATTTATTTCATGCTATAACATACATAAATGACTCTCAAATGTCAGCTCTCAGGTTCTTGATGATGTTGTGGAATCTCCTTCAGAGGTGAAAGTTTATGATATCTGCTTTATTCAGAGAACTGGCAGTCTACTAAAATACAAGACTCTGTGATATGAAAGCATGAAATATGCACAGGATAGAAAATGTTTCTTTCCATGTATTTAAGATCCAGAGGTATATATTCCAAAAAAATGTTCATGTTGTACCTTTAATCTATTTTTTAAGACTTATAAATCAACATTAGCAATGTTTATACTATTCACAGTAAGCGGTAACAGCCATACATCTCCACTCAGTGTCTGGTTGTATCTTAAAACTGGGTTTATCATATGCTGTAATTAAGTACTCCTTGGTAAGATTCTGTCAGAAGTATTGTAAGAAAACCACCAAATGATTTTTTTCTTTAATGTAGCTTCATGCTGAAATTATATTATTTTTTCTTTTCTCTTTAAGATTTACATTTTCTGGTTCTGTTGCTGTCCTTGTGGAGCTCCTGTCCTATCCAGGTCTTACTATTTCCCACTTCTTTTATAAGATTCCCTGCATTCTGCCCAAAGATTGGCCATAAGTCTCAGTATCTGCTTTGATACCCTGCAAGGTAGAGCCTTTCAGAGGCCCTCTGTGGCAGGCTCCTGTCCTGTTCCCTGTTTTTCCCTTCTGCTGATGGGAAACCTCTTAGCCTTTCTGAATGGGAATTGAGCATTTTAGCCAGAACAAGGAGTGCAACAGAACCAAAATATCTGGGCATAGGGGTCTTTTCTGAGACTGATATTCCAACCAAGGACCATTGATGGAGATAACCTAGAACCCCTGCACAGATATAGCCCATGGCAGTTCAGTGTCCAAGTGTGTTCCATAGCAATGGGAACAGGGACTGTCTCTGACATGAATTGATTGGCCTGTTCTTTGATCACACCCCCCTGAGGGGGAGCAGCCTTACCAGGCCACAGAGGAAGACAATGCAGCTAGTCCTGATGAGACTGACAGACTAGGATCAGAAGGAAGCAGAGGAAGACCTCCCCTATCAGTGGAATTGGGGAGGGGCATGTAAAGAGAAGGGGGAGGGAAGGTGGGACTGGGAGGGGAGAAGGGAGGTGTTCACAAGGGGATACAAAGTGAATAAAGTGTAATTAATAAAAAATTATTAAAAAATTTACATGTTTCAGAAAGAAGAGGAGAACCTCCCCTATCAGTGGACTTGGGGAGTGGCATCCATGCAGAAAGGGGAGGGAGGGTGGGATCGGGAGGGGAGGAGGGAGGGGCTTATGGGGGAATACAAAATGAATAAAGTGTAATTAATAAAAAAATTTAAAAAATGTGGAAAAAATTTACATTTTACTTTCCTTTATATTCTTTCAAATTCAATATGAATAAAACCATGTTCTTAGTGCCTTTCACCCCAATTCTCTAAATACAATGCAAAAGAGCTTGAAATATGAGCATAGAGCTTAACTCTGTGCTTTTGTTCTATTCACAGCTTACTTTTCTCAAGCACATTAATTCATTTATTGACTCAATAGCTTTTTCCTTAGAACTTTGCAGTTGCAGATTCCATTATGTACAGTAGGAACATGGCAGTGAACAGCAGATTCTCTATGTACACTAGGAGCATGGCAGTGAATACAGGATTCTAGTGTTCACACTAGGAGTATGGCAGTGAACGAGGCAGATAATACACCATATCTTCCATTTTAAAACCCTGATAGTGACTTTGCACTCCAACTGTCAAAACCCAGCTCCTCTCTTTATTTGTATATTCACCCTCAATATCTTCCCTACATGGTACAACCTTACTGATTTTCCTTAATACTGTATGCACAGCATTATCCTATTCAAAATCTTTGCATGGACAATCACTGCCTACTTGATAATACTGAAGTATTTAAGTGATATCCAAAGGCTTCTGGCATTCTGTCCCATCCTTTACACGAATTCATAGGCATCAAAGTGTATACAGCAGATTAGCAAATTTGGAAAGACCCTGATTGTCTTGAGAAAATTAAAACGATACTTTTATAAAGTAAAATATGAAATTATAAACACATATCCTAAATGAGTTTCTTTCTAATCAACATAGAAAATTGCTCTTCATAGGCTGCTCTGAGCCTCATGTTTCTGTATTTTAATTTTATGTAGCCTCTAGACTGTAAAAGTTTTTCATGCATGGCTTTAATGCCACAAGACTCTGTTTTTACATTTCTTGGACACTCTCCCATGCACTCTGTGCATTATGTCACACATAATATTCAACTACCAACTGCCCTTCTGCTATGGTTCAGATGTGAGCATGGTCCTTCAGAAAAGCATGATTGGCATCCTGTCACAAGTTCAGTTTGAACCAGAAACAAATACCCCCTGTCTATCAAAGATTAAACGGAGGAAATCCCTGATATCTTTTCTTCTACCCTCAGGAAGAGGATACAATTTTTTTTCCCAGTTTTGGAGATCTACTACAGGGAACAATCTAAACACCTGATAATCAACGCATCCCTT